GAAGATGCCATTCATTCTAAGGTAAAAACACACTCTTACGGTTTCTAATGCTAACATGGCTACACAATTTGAGATGAGCAGAAAGGGAAAAACTGGCTACTAGTCAGTAGAACACAGGGTTTTGTCTGAGTTTGAAGAACTTCTGAAGTCATGAGAAGGAGAAGAAACAGACAAAACAGATGAAAATACAGACTTAGATATCAAAATTGTAGGAAGTAAGCCCAGATATTGTATCAGGCGAAAAGGAGGAGTTTAATATCTAGAGAAAAATGAAAGAACCAAACTGGTGGTATAAGCAAGAAAATGTCATGGTTGCGCTAAAGGCTAGGGACAGGCATTACACATAAACTGGTTTAAGTAATCAGAAACTGGTTTAAGCCTGTAACAGAACAAATGTTCAGTGCACATAAACCAGTTTGAAAATGTCTGAAACTGATTTGAGATAAACCTGGTTGAATGTAGTATCAGATTTAACTGATTTGGGTCAAACCAGTTTATGCAATGTCTGTCCCAGACCCCTTCTTGGTTTAAGTTAAACCAGGCTCCCCCAGAATCCCGGCATGTTATCTGGGCGGGTGGGGATCTCTGCTCCACAGCAGAGCTGGCCCCTTCCCTCCGCTCCCTGGGTGGAGCTCTGGAACAGACTGGCTTCCCTGTGCTCCCCCTCTTCCCCTCACCACTTCCTGCTATGCAGGGATCCTCCTCCACTCTGCCTACACAGACACCTCTCAGCATTAGCTAGCAGACTACATGCTGGCTATGGTCCATGCTGTGGCAGACAGGACAAAGGCAGACAGGACTGTTGGCTTAAGGCTTTTTGGAGCTAATCAACGGGTAGCTGGTAATGTCCCTCCATTCCTTCCTTATAAAAAATTGTTTAAGAAGAGCTTGAACTAATGAGAGAGCCTTTGTTTTCTGATGGGGTGATAAAAGCTGATAACAGAGCAGATAAAAGTTATGTTATCAATGGTGGGGGAGGCCCCCCCTAATCAGAGTTTCCTGCCCAGGCCTGGCCACACCCCCCTCAGCTCAGCACTATGGAAGGGAAGGGAGGGCTGCTCTAGAGCCCCCAACTTCTAGCCTGAGCCACTGCAGGCATCTGTTTGCACTTCTGGGATGCCTATGTAGTTACAAACTGGTTTAGCCTAGCCAGGTTAGACTAACCTGCAAAGATTGAATCAATTAAGTTCAGGCTTTTTGAATGTCTGTTCCTAGACAAACTGTTTTAAATGAAATAATCAAAGAAAGAAGAAATGATGGCAGAGCTATGAAAGGACTATAATCCACATATTACTTTCAGTAATGGAAATAGGGGTGCCAGCCAGAAACAGTAAGTGTGTGAAGATAACATTAGATGAGTGTTACATTGAATATTTTGTGTTACATAGGCACCAAATATGCCAGCAACAAAGCTACAAAGATACAACGGGCTGGCTACCATGAACACACAATTAGAGAACACTCTACTGGGAGAAACTTACAACAAAGAGAGAAAAGACAAAGAGTACACTGTGCAAGTAATACATGAGGACCAGAAACAGAGATGATAAGGTTTGCCCAGTGCTCATAGAGGGCACATCCAGATGAGTGAGGACATGCAGTATTTAGTGCCACATGTTCAGGTGTTCCCCACACTGCTAATTTGCACTACAGGAGGTTTTTTTGACGTGGAGAGTGTAAAAAAAACCCCGCACCTTAAAAAAGTGGGGCAGCACACGTTGTGGCAGCACACATGCTGGAAAATGGAGCCTGGCCAGCTGGAGCCACACTCCAGCTGCCGGATTATCATGGCTGCAGCCCCTGGAGGCCCTCAGGTCCCCAGGTAAACTGCTGGGGCCATCCCCCAGCCTTCCCTACCCTACCAGGGGCAATGATGTGCCATGTGCCAGAGCATGCGTGCATGGACACTTCCCAGGGACAAGCAGCAGCAGCACATATTGCTGCTCTTTGTCTCTGGGGCAACACATATTCTCACTCGTGGGAATGCGCCCAGAGAAGTCTGTGGCAAAAACTGAAATGACGTCTATTACTCATTATTTGTATGACCAACATGACTTGCTTCTTTTTTCATGTCCTTGTGACAAAGTATTGAGCAGAATTTGCAGATTCGTTGGAATCTGACCGACCGTACCATGAATGCTTCTGCTACGGCTTACGAAGTTGCGACCTCTGGCCTGTCAGCCATGCACCTTTGTACCCACACCACCCCTGCCTGGCACTAAAGTGCCTGGAAAACATAACCAGGACTAGGGATCCATTTTTAGATGCTGGCGCTAAAACACATGGTAAGAAACAGCACTATCCTTATCTGCTGATCTAAAAAGATGTTAAGGGGGTAAAGCCAGAAAAAAAAAAAAAGGCTGTGGCAAGTCCAGCCTCCAGATTCTTGAGTCTCCTTTCAGTGCCATAACCATCAGGCCATATTTAAATAAGATGTGAGAAAAGAACTTCTTAATGTAATTTAGGCTCTAGGAGCATGAATAGACAGTTTGCCAGATTGGTAACAATGTTATCTCTAGAAGCATGCAATAGAATAAATAGATTAAGAATTATGTATAACAGAAATTCATTGATAGTGCTTTCCATAAAACTGCTATAAAACAGTAGCTAACTGCAAATTTTCCCCCCAGTATTTTGCAGCAGGTGTTTAAGAACAATGTGCATTGTCTCTACATGCATCATGCTACAAAAGAATACAAACGCAACAACAACGGAGCAGACCGGGTTGTAAATCTGCATTTTGTAAAATCAATCCATACAAAATTAAGTTATTCTCAAACACAATTGTCATTTATTGTATTTTCTGTAATAACTCCTTTGATGCCTGACTTAAAATAATCACTGTAATTTGCACTGATAAATTACCCATTTCTCTGTTACTGAACTATGGAAATAAATAATTTAACGCTGAAGAACAAAACAGTTTCATTTCTAAAATGAATACATCTTATCAAACCAATATTACTGATGTGTACAAAACCACATATGGCACATCTACACAAGACATTCACTGCATAGTAGACTAATTTCCTTCCTTTCCTTCCTTCCACTGTATTATATATTTCACTTTATTAACCATTGTAGCCAGGTAGCCCAATCTTAAACTGAACAAAAGATCCAAAGAACTGCACTTTATTTTTGACAACTCCCCAATTTTTTTTCCCTCCCAGGATACCAGGGATATTTCAAAACAACAATAACAAAGACTGAAACAATAACAAAGACTGAAACCAGCCAACCAGGTACAAATATTATCAACATTTACTTTGAAAAAATCCTCCACGATTACTACTGTGGGAATAGTACAAAATCTCACTGTAGCTCTAGGGTTTTACATGTTTCAGTCATTCAGAAGTATCATGGTGTTCAAAAGGCAAACTTTAATTGGTGTTGCTCTTTGGTATTACACTCTGTACTGTTCTGTCATGTTACAGTTTTACATTTTTATTGGCAAATTGTTCCTTGCTGACTGACAACTGCTATTAACTCAACAGTCATGATGTCTATTAGTATTTTCATTCCTTTGGGTATCAAGAGCTGTGAAGCCCAACCATTAGAATGAAAAGGAGCCTACAGCCATAAAAAACACAAACTAAAAAGAACAAGACACTGGGTAGAATATAATGATTGTCCTAAAATATATATATATTTTTAAAGGGGGGCGGGGGGAGAGGAGGAGGAATTTTAAGGAGCTCTGGACTTAGATTCTATGAATGTTAAAAAATGTTAATTTTGCAGCCTTCCCTAACCTGTTTTAACCACAGCTATTACAAAAATTAATAGATAAAAATGTCCCAAAGAGGTTGTTTTTTTTCAATATTATCTTATACCACAGGGGACTAAATGTAAGCACCAAAGTCAACATCTTAGGCACTTAAACAGAAGAAGGATATTTTTTTCAAAATCCTGAGCACCTAAGTCATCCATTAAATTCAATGCCCTGCATCTTTCAAACTCAGGTCAGTTACATGGGTGCCTAAGTACAAATTTAATCTGAGATGCATGAAAACTAAGATGCTGGTTTTCCTCATCGTGATTATGCTTTTCTATAGTTAGTATGAATTCCATATAATAAACTTAAGTATTTGCTTGGGATGACCATGTACCTTGTTTATCTTGTAGCAACACTACTTTTCCCATCATTTTATAAATTGATTATAAAGACTGGCAGCCACATTATATCATTGGAAAGTAAAGATGACTTCTCTTGCTTCCCAAAACCAAGGAGATTTTTAAAGTCGGGCGATAACTTTGAGCAATTTAGATTATGACTCTAATTGAAACCAAACATTAAAATATACTACATCTTATCCAATTCTCCTTGGCCAAAATCTCTTTTTTTGCACCTCTTTCATCATTTGCAAATAGTCATTTACATTATCACAAACTGGGAGCAAATTCATTTTGGATTTAAAGTTACCACTTTACATCTATTTTTCACTCTTTTTTTCTATTTTTTTTTTCTTTTTTTCTAAGTTATTACAAAAGGCACAGCATGCTGGACAACACTGAATCTGAAAGTTCAGCTAAAGATCTCCAATGAACAAACTTCTCTGTTGATAGCACCCTGCTTTGGGTTTGGTCTCAGCCAAAAAGATATTGGAGGCAGGGAGGAGTGGGCAGGGGGGGAGTAGGGTAGTAATCAGATACTTCAAAACTTTTAAAATAGTGTACAATGTTTTACAATCCTAGTCTTCTGATTATATATAAAACTGATTCAATAAACGGGCAATACTGGGTTAGAAGCACGTTCCTTTATTATAGTTCAGTAGACCTGGTGAGAATCTAAAGAGGGTCCCAAGAAACATTTATTGTCTAGGAAACTTCTTAGAGAGACCTGTGAAGTCATCTGTATGAGGGCCAAGACATTTTTTTTTCCAAAAAAAAATTAAAATCTGGGTTTAATATCTTTATTAAACCTTGAATATCCCTTCTAATTGCCTGTAAATGTAAGGAATCCTGTAGTTTTCAAGTAAAACAAAAAAAAAAATATTACTTACGTCATTCAGATCATCTTTTGCATTGTAATAGACGATGTCATTGTTCTGGGACAGAAAAGAAAAAAAAATGTTTAATTGTTAAGTAATGGATAAAATTGTCCATGGCCTAAAGTGAATCTGAACACACAGATTTAAGAGACAAAACTGGATTTCATGGGACATGCACTGATTTCTGAGCCGGATCAAGTCCTTACTGAATTTTACCCTTTTTGTAAAACTACAAAAACAACAAAGAATTGTCATTTATATAATACTTTCCTGAAAATGTCTTTCCTATAAAAGGTGCATCAATAACAGCTGGAAAGTACACACTGCTAGGAAGAAATATATGTCCACCTCTGCCAGCAGAAGACTTATGAAAGCTATGTGTTTTAAAGATATATGAAGAATTCACTATGCAAAGTGATGATATATGTACCCAAAACCCTACCAGGCAACAAACATGATAACTCACCAGCCTTACAAGGGTAAGTGGGTTATTAAGTATTTGTTGCACATATTTCACTCTTCATGCTCCACAGCAAAAATTAGCTTGGGGACTATGCATCACAGGGCAATCCAATTGTTGTGGCACACAATGGCATGTAACATTACAGTAGATGAATCGTAACATTCGAACTCTAACAGAGCAGTGAACTAGTATAATGTTAGCTTCTGTTGCCCTAACATTCTGAATCTTCATTTACAGTAATTTCCAGAGCAAGTAGAGGAAAATTTCCCATTAAAAGCTTGTCTGTTTTTGGTTTTGTTTTGGGTTTTTTTGTTTCTGAAAAAAAAATCCAAATGTAGTTTATTCTACCAGCCCTACACATTCCAGTAATGGATTCTGCTTACTACACACAGTTGTGACCTTCCAGTAGCCATGATTATTATAATATATATAGTATTTTGTATGTTTAGAGTGTCTCCTGTCTAAGGGTCTCAAAGTGCTTTATTAAGCCCCCAGTCCCCTAACACATTTATTCATGTGTTTAAGTGCTTAGCTGGATTGGGACATAGCTGACTTTCTTTAGAGTGAAGGGGAAGTAAAAGGGAATGAAAAATATAGAACATTTCATGATATTCAGCAGTATGCCAGAATCAAAAGTTATTATTCCCTATTGAAGTCAATCTATGAAAAACACTGTTTAAACTTTGAATCTGGTCTACAGGAAATAATGATTTTAGAAAGAACATATTTGAAGTCTGTTACTCTATACATGTGGCTCAGTGGTTCCCAACCATTTTAGACTCAAGGCCCCTCATTAGATTCACAGCATCCCTGCATAACTTTTGTGACTTGAGCAGCACCCAATTCCAAAAACTAACAATTTTATTACAGTGCAGATAGATTTATTACAGGCCATGAGTCGTGTGAACAGGGGAATGGCCAGGCAGGGACTGAGCCTGAGCCTACGCTTATCTTCTCACCACACCATTCAAAGGATCTTGGGGCACCCCTGCACACCCTGGTTGAAAATCACTGGTCTAGCTTTACAGCACTGGATAATTGGTATCTAAATATACCATTAGCCTAAAAACCAGGATAGGATGTTCTTCCATTAGTTTCTTCTATTGAAACACATCAGATTTTATTTATAAAATGAAGAATACAAGTGCATTAAAAACAAACAAAATAGCCAAAAACACAAACTCTTACTTGTGCAAAAGTTTGAATGATATTAAAGAAACAAGGAAAAATTGACTTTTCCCTATAAGTGTCTTGAAAGGCTGATTGGAAAAGGGCTATGTGGGGGTAAAGCACTAAGGGTACTTACAGACATTTGGGGAAGTTAGATCAAGTTAAAAATGGCCACCTGATCTAAGGTAAGCCGAGA